ATTCTGGATTTGTATTGACAGAATGGCTTTGGTGTTTTCAGGCTTAATATGGTGAGAGAAAATTACTGAGACCTGCCTGCACATGAATGGGCACATTTGCTCACATGTCCTTTTGAACAAGTGGACAGTAAGATATTGTGTGTACAATGGTTTTTATGTGAATGTCTTCAATATCTTTGCACTAGAAGGCACATTTGGGTTTTTTTTACCATTGAAGCTTCTCATATATTCCGTATCCTCACATGTTCTTTTGTTAAAGAATTGTTTTCTGAAAGGTTGATATGTTTTTGGAATACCGATTTATTGTGTTTGTCTTCTCTGGATGATGGTATCTTAGGATGTAACCAGGGATGGACCAGGTCAAATCCAGGAGCCAACAGTTTCTTCCAAGTCTCCCACAAAGATGTAAAAGCTGAAGGAGTTAGGTCATCCTCCACTCCCTTCTTAGGTCAATAGCAAGGAGCTGGATAGGAAGTGGAGCAGCTGGGACTTGAATTAGCAGCCAAATGGAATGCTGGCATTTCAGGTGAAGATTTAACTTGCTATACCACAATACCGACCTTCCCATCAGCTTTTTTGTCAGCTCACAAGCACAAATATACCATGTCCTATGTATTACTTGCGTGTACATTTTAATTATAAACAAACATATTTTTAGATGTATGCAGTATGCATTACTTGTAAAGATTTATTGAAGACAAGGGGGTAAAATGAAGCCAATAAAGTAAGAATAGAAATGAATCCTAATTAACTCATTCCCATGCATGAGCCTTTTAGACTGGAGACAGGTATAAATAATAGACAGGACTGGAGACCTTGCTTGAGAAGCTGCTCTGTTCTGGAATTGGGAAGGAAGCATTCTGGCTGCACCACAACCATAGCTTCCTTAATCACCGTGCTTGCTTGGGGGATCTTTCAGAGTCTAGGAACAATTATGTGATCTATCAATGCCTTTGGATTTCATGAAGCTCAGGAAAAAGAATTTTAGGATTTTGCTTTTCCCACAAGATTATTCTGAGGTTATTTAAAGGAGATTTATGGCTATGAACTGGGAGTCTTGGGGACTTCAGATTTTTGAGTTCAAGGTTAGATTCCATACATGTGTAAGAAACCAAGAAGTATCTTCTCTTTCCAGGATCAAAACCATAGTACTGAAAATGTTAGAAATGCCATGCCACCTCTACCTTGCCATACATTTATCTGAAATTCACCTTCCAAACTGTTTCCTATCTTTTGAGTTTCAGTGCTGGGGTCCAGGAGAAAGGTGTGATTTCTGCCAGAGGCCATTCTCTGTACCTGCTGGACCTGGTTGTTTCCAGGATTTGCTGGGCTCCTCTTGCCTTCAGTGTTTCTATTTGTCAGTTTAGGAAATATCCTTTGTGATCTCTCACTATTACCCCATTGACCCATTCACGATGAAGGCATGTACACTGATTAAAAACAAAAGCATTCTGTGAACACACCATTTGTTCTTAGCTCTTGGATTAGTTTTTATGGCTGCTGTTACAAAATGTCACAGATGCAGTGGCTTGGAACAGTATATATTTATTATATTACATTTCCAAGGTTCTAGATATCTAACATAGGTGTTTCACTGGGCTATTATCAGGTGGTTGGAAAGGCCCATTTTGCTTGTGGGTGCTCTTAGGAGAAATACATTTCCTCACCTTCTCCAGCTGCTGATGGTTTCTCATATTCTTCTCTTCCTCCGTGTTCAAAGCCAACAATTCTGTGTCTCTCTGTAGATCCAAATCAGAACCTGTTTGTCCATCATCACCATTGCTTTTGCAATGCTCTTCTGCATGTTATGTTTGAGAACATATGTGGTTACACGAGGACACCTTTCGCATTCTTAAGGGCCTTAACTTTATGCTATGTATGAAGTCCCTTTCACCATGTAAGGCAACATACATGTATGCTCCTGAGATTAGGATGTAAATATCTTTGAGAGAAGGGAATGACTCTTCACACCTCTGTCCTTATATTTTAGAAATTAAATGAAATGCTGGGCTGGCACCGTGGCAAGACTTTTGCTCTTTGATTTTTCTCTTTCCCTGCTTGTCATTCTGGAGAGACATTATGACTGTGAAAGGTGACCTTACTGAAGACTTCCTTGACTACCAATAATTCTGAGTGGGATAATATCATCGTATAGTGTTGCCAGGAAAAAAAAATTAGCCTTTAAAAAGTTGTATTAAATTTATTTCTAGGACCTAGTATTAGATTTTTTGACACATAGCAGTAACAGGTTCTTTTATGCTCTAAATCCAGACCTGTAGGGGAGTTTTGGTGTGGCCATATCGAAGAAACAAGCAGTTTTGCAGCTGGCACTAAAGCTTGTTCTATGGAGTCATCAAGAAGAAAATGCAAAGCAGAGGTGTGTGCATTTAGAACTTTGCAAATGAATTGACACTTTGAAAGGATCTTAAAAGTCTGTTTGTGAATGACTCATATCTTGGAAGACTGTTTTGGAAGTGGATGATACATGTGGTAAAAGATAATACAATTTCTCCAAAAGATCTCCAAGGTCTGATAGACTGATGTGATTCACAAATTAAAATTAGGATTAGCATGATTGCATATAAGCTACTGCCTTCTTGAGATAACTAAGAGTCTCTTGTTTATTAGCTGATCTGCCTTGAAATAACACACTTGTTCTTGGAATATAAAGCAGTTGCTTTCTATGGGGTGGTTGCATATTATAGTCAGTTCAATTCTACCTTTACAACTTTCCAATCCATTTATAATAATTATGAAGTCAGACTTTCATTCCTAAAGAGTTTAATATAATTGAAAGTAAAGTTTAAAAGCTCAAAATGTAAAAAATTCATCTTTGTAAGACATGTACTATGGTTTCATTAGGTAGAATCTTACAAAATGATTATATTTTAACGTAAATTTCATTTTGGTATTGGCTATAAAAGAAAGATTTGCAAGAAAAATGGATCAATAGATGCTAGAGGCTTGAGTAATTTACTAAACAGAACACACTTGTGTCAAATACTCAAGTAATACTGATTTTTAAAAGTGCCAATTAAGACATTTTTATTTAGTAAGAAAAGTGCAACTGAACATTTATTATAAAGTATATTGACAGTATAGTTTGGCACTTTGAATACTTGGCAATAATTACAATGAATTTTGCTTACAAGCATTCTCTATTCTCATTTTGTTAGCCCAAATTATTACGATTTTGCTGCATTTAGTCATTTTTAAGGGGAATGTTTCCCTTAGGTTTTTTTTTTTTTTTTTTTTTGCTTAGATTGTAGGCTATTCTCCTTAGTGGGAAATGGCTGCTGAGTGTGCAAAGAGAACAAAAACACTTCACTAAGATGAGATTTTGATTATTTCAAATTGTCCATCCTTTTAACATTTTTAAATTAGGGCTGTGTATACAATCTGATTGAACAAACAGCTAATTGGACAAAACATAAGTGTATTGGCAGAATTGAAATCTGGATTGCACCTGTCCTTGGTTATCAACTTTCCTTAGCAGTGATACTATCTTCAGTGTCCTAGGTAAAGCTCCCCACAGCTCCTTAAAGTGACTCAACAGATCCTTCATACCATGTTCAGAACCATGGACAGTACTTCCACAAGGAATCATTAGCCTTGTGAATGGGAAGAAGGCTGGCAACCAACAGTGCTTGCTAGTCTCTACACAAATAGTTCCAAATATTTAACCAGATGATATTATGAAGGACTTAAAGGATTTTTCTTCAGCTTACATTAAATACAAAATATCTTATATATCTCTTGTACAATTATTAGGAAAAACTAGTATGTTCTTTAATTGAGAGTTTATGCATGGTGGTTTCAGTGGTGTGATATGGAATTTGAGAATGTTTATCAATGAGTTTGAATTTGTATCTATGACTCATTTACTTCTGTGTTCCATAGGGGCTGTTTGCACATTTATAGTTGGAATTCCTTGGCTTCCAAGATAGTATAGTTTCAGCTTAGAGACCTTCAACAATTTTTCTCCTTGCAACTAGAACTGTTTCCTAAAGTGGTGTGGTACCTTCACACCTCCAGAGAGAACGCAAGATAGTTATGATGCAAAAGAGGTAAGTTATTAAAAAGAGCCCCAGTTGAGCTGCTGTAATGAGTTGAAAATTTCTCAGGAGGTTTGCAGACCGTCTGATTATAACAGGAAATATTTTTTCTAAACAAGGACTTCTAAATCTCCTCTGCAGGCATGCTATTATGTTACAACATTGTTATTTCTTTCCACCCAGCTCAATCAGCAATGGCCCTGTTTCTTCTGTGAAATGAACCCTGCCTCCCAAAATATTCTCCAAGGTTAGTTGGTTTTTTTTTTGCTTTGGACCTCTGTAAGGAGGCTTCAAGCTTCAAACAATTCTCAAACTTATTTAGAATGAAATAATTGTAAAACCAAGCAATTTCCACCTTCCGATATGATGAATAAATACGGATTTACCGAGTTAAGAAACTGTAAAATTTGACACAAATAAAATGGACTATTAGAATAAACTCTGATATGCAGACACCATTGGAAGCAGTACTAGTTAAAGAATTATTTGAAATATGTTAGTGAGGAATTTCATTCACTGACTTAATTCCCTTCTGAATCCGGTAAAAGATTGCTATTTTTCAATTTTACTGGTGGGATACCCAGTCTGGATTTTTGAAGCATCAGTGATCCAGTAGGGCATGCTTTGACAACACAGATACAAGGCTGCATTTGCATACAGTGTTCTATAAAGTTAATACAGAGATTATGTTCTTGAATGATATATTAAACTATCAGCTGCAAGTCTGACACCAGTTCCTTATTCTTACTTCACTCATAGCTTAGAAAAGAGAGCTGACATACAGACTTTGGTGTCTCATTGCAATCATTACACAGTGAGGAGTCTGCCTGCCAGCCTGTACTGGTGTCATGCCTGCACCACAGTGACAGTACAGAATCATGGTTGAATCAAACAGCACAGGTGATTACCCCAGCTGTGAGCTGAGAAGCAATCTATATCAACAATGGAGGGGAAAAAGACTATTTATTTTAAAAAGTTCATCATCAAATCACTGGACAGGATAAGCAAATCATAGAGAAAATCAACACTTATTTCAATCAGGGGAATCCACTGTAATTTACTGATTTCTCTAGGCACTCTCAGTGGGAAGTGGAACAAAACTCTCAGATATCTTCCACTGGATAAACAGTTTTGATTGTACAAAATTCATTTGGCTTTGTTCTTGTTTTTGATATCTCTTTCCACATTTTTCCAATGATATTTAAGCATAACATAGTACACCCAAGGCTAGTGAGGTATCCAACTTAGAATTATTTTCTTTGCATGGAAACATGAATGATTTGTTTATCTTAGTAATGGCAACACTCTGAAATTTGATCGTTTGTGAGCCAACTTTTACATTTTTATCTAAAGGAGAGTTCCGAGAGCTTGTGTTAATTTTTGAAGCATTGACAGCTTTTAGCTTTCCAGAAGCCACACAAACTTTCTAATCTTATTTTATTTAACTTTTCTATTGGCCTTTTACTAGAGGTCCAAAGAAAACTGTTAACTTCTGTGTCTTGTTGCTGCCAAAGTGTTCCTTGTCTGACCCTGGCACAGCAGCAACTTAGTAAATAACATCACAAAGTCACAGCAGAGCAACACTAGAGTTCTTTGTGGTGGCTATTATACCTGATTTCCAAATGATTGGAGGTTTTTATTCAATATACACAGCCCCGTTTTATAAATACATTTTTGTAAGGGAGCAGAAACTCCACAGAGAAGTGCGTCTTTCTCTTATGTACTCGCTTATGCACACAAACCAATTCCTTTTTGGAAGCCAGCATGAGGCACATAAAACAAAATAAGTTAAAAAAAAAAAGGTTGCACATAGAGTAATTTTAATCCATTCCATTTTAAATACCACAATAAATTTAATTTTCACAATAAATTAAAGTCATATTCAGTTTACAAAATAGAATTACTTAGTGTGAAACCAGTATTTACAACAATATACATTATGTACATGACACATTTTCTTTGTGGACATACAACATGGAAGTAGAAGGTCTTGACTTTCAACATGTGATTGACATGCTACAAGGGACACCATGGCCAATACGAGAAAATAATAGTGCAAAGTCACCACAGGAACTTTGGGACAACGTCAATTTTATGAGATAAGACATTCTTTTAAATAATAAGAAAATAGCACTTTTTGTTATTTTGTTTTGTTTTGTTTTTCATGGCACCAATTCAGCATGTGAATTAAAGAGCCAACTTTCCCTTAGGAAAAAAAAATGCATAACTGAATCCTTGACTTCCTGAATCTTCACAGCCATTGGTATATTTCGCACATTTTTCTTTTGGTTTAAATCTACAAAAATGGCGGGTAACACATTCTGAATCAAAGGAAGACTAACTCTTTGAGAATAGCTGCAGATGCTTTTTCCCCAAACCACCACCTCCTCTTCTTTTTCTGTAAATAGCTTACAAGATTCATCTATGCAGACAGTATTTCTTTTGTAAATTCTCAGTAGAAAAAGAACTGATCTGATATTTGGTCACACACTGCATATGTACAAGTATACATTGAAAAATGCCTTGAATCTCTGCATTTAGGGAAAGTGCATATCTTTAAACTAGAAGAGACACCATGTGTCTCGAGGCACAACACATAGTGTTGCATGACATGTTATCTTAGGGCCAGTTCAATGTCCTCCCGGTGATCTGATAAAATTTTTGATTGAAAGGGTGAAAGAATTTGCGCAATTTGGTAATAACAGAGGAGTCCACCTCCGGATGAATGCGTCCCTTGCTGCCCGCCAGGCACTTGTTAAAGATAATATTAAATCGCAAGCAGTAAAACCCTCTGGTAGCATTGAAATATAAATTGTATTGACTTATCCTTGGGGGAAGATTCAGGAACTTCTCCACGAGCTGAAGTTCTGGCAGCGGTTCTGTGATGAGGCGATCCCCGTCAACAATGTGAAATTGCTCGATTGGAAAGTATTTCAACCACCTCTCCAGATGTTTGGTGTAGATGCTGGTTCTTACTGCCTTGTATTTTGTGTTGACTTCACAGGTATTAGGGTCTATGGCCAGCTTCTCAAACTTATAATAAGTTTTGTTCTTCCTCTCCTTCCCCTCTAGCACCTGAGTATAATCGGAAATAGCTCTTGTGGTTGGCTCCCTGACAATGATCAACAACTTGATGGATGAGTTCATTTTGTAAATCCTTTCTGGAACCTCCTCCGTGATAAAATATGCTGGGCTCTTTTCGATTGTGATTTGTTGAGGGTAGGAGAAAGGCATCTTTTTCCTGTACCACTCAATGCCCTTGGCATAATTCTCATCATTGTCAAAAAAGTGGATTTCTTGAGAGGCTTTGACCACTGCTGGATGGAGGTTCAGCATTTCGAGCAAGGCCCTTGTGCCTCCTTTTCTCACACCAATGATAATGGCCTTAGGGAGCTGCTGCACCAGGTCATGAAGGCGAACCTGCTCCTTGGAAGTGTTGCCTTTCCGGAACTCGTGCAGCAGGCCACGTTTGAACTGCAGAGCACGGAGTGGGAATTCAGCCTGACCGCGGGCTCCTCCAAAACGGCCTTCAATGGGGCAAATAGGTTGTAGCCTGCAAGCAACAGAGAGATTATCTAAGAGACTCACTATGACTAATTTACCTTTCTAGCCTCCTTGGCCAACTAGGACTTTACATGCATAAATAAAACCACTGATTCCTGGCCTGCTGCAATGTGTAATGAACATATGTTTGGGGAAATTTTATTTTAAGCAACCCTGTAGCAAATGGAGTGCATATAATTGATAGGAGTCCCCCCCCTTTTTTTATTATTAGTAGTATGTCTTAAAATTTTTATTCACTAAGTACTTAATTGACTGTGCCATGCTCACAGTACAGGACAGACAAGTGACACCAGCCATACTAATAGCTTTTTAATAGCTCACCAGTTAAATCATTCAGAAAATGTGAAAGGCAGAAGATTATCTTCTTCAGCTGGGAGGCTGAAGGGCAACTAGGAGGTCACATGTTTCAGGTTTCATGTGGTATTATTTCCTTGCAACTCAGCAGCACTCATATGGCTCTTAAAAATCTCTGAGATACAATTTGCAAAGAGGTCCCTGTCTTTGCCTTTGGCTATTTGCATGATTTGGCTATTTGCAAAATTCCAATCTTGGCTCTTGCTGGACTTCCATTCTAAGAGAATTTCTTCCCTTGGCCTTGAGATGTTCAGAAGAGTACTTTATTATGTCCACCTCTCTTTTTTTCTCCATCTAAGGAAGTCAGGATGATGTTTATCACTCTGTTCAATGCAGGAACAAGCTTAACTGCCATCAGCAAGTGCTATATACTACTCGCCACACCTGGGACCAGAAATCAGCATGATTTGACAGCCCCAGAAACCTCAGGTCCTCATGGCCAAACTCATTGAACTCAGGGTTCAAACTCATAAAGGGAGTAGTACAATGTATGGAGTCAGATTGGAGGATGCCACTTCAATGTTGCCCTGTATAATGAACAGCAGTCTCTGCTTTCCTCAGAAAACATGTGGTAACAGTCACAGGGGTATTAGTTTGGAGTGACTATTTCATTTGCCCGGTCAATACATTTAGTTAGCAAACTGAGCTCCCTGTTGAAATTGAATTGAAAATCACTATAATTTGCCTAAGTTTTTCTAGGAAAGTATTTCAGTCTTCTTGGGCAAGCAGACAATATTAGTCAAATGGCTGTTAAACCAGTTCCTTTAACTGAAAGTTTTCGGTTATCCTAATAATTTGGAATTGACATCTCCTTGTCTATTGTAATAAGTCTGTCACTTGCTTTTCCCAAGAGACCTTATTCCATTTTTCTTGTATACCTAGAAGTTCATGCCTAGCCTGTTCTGTGGAACTGAGAGAAATTGTGTTGGTCTGTGGTCTGTTTAAGGAAAAAATATAGATAGTGTTACTTTTAAAAAATGATTTTTATCTTTTAAATGTTTTAGTTATTTGAAAGGCTGAGTGACAGGGGGAAAGAGAGGAATAACTCTCCATTTGATGGTTTACTCCCCAAATGTCTGCAATAAGCCAGAGTTAGAGAAGCTGAGGCCAGGAGCTAGGAATGCCATCCAGGTTTCATACATGGGTGGCAGGAATCCAATTACTTGGGCCACCATCCATTGTTTCTCAGACACATTAGCAAGTAAGGGATCAGAAATAACAGCAGTAGGGAATTAAACCAGGCACTCTAACATAGGATGAGGGTAACCCACACCAACAGCTTAATCTGATGATTTACATTACTATCAGATTTTAAAATAATTCATTCAGGGCTGGTGCTATGGCATAGTGGGTAAAGCTGCTGCTGTCTGGCATGCTAGGATCCAATACTGATTCCAGTTTGAATCCATCCCAGCCGCTCCACTTCCTACCCAGCTCCATGTAGAAGTCCTGGGAAAAGCAGTAGAAGGTGGACCACGTGATTGGGCCTCTGAATCCAAATGAAAGACCTGCAAGAAGCTCCTGGATTTGGAATGGCCCAGCTCTGGGTGTTGGTAAAATTTGGGGAATGAACCAGCTGATGAAAGATCTGTCTCTCTTTCTGTAACTCTCTCTTTTAAATAAATAAGTCAGTCATAAATGAAGAAAACAATTTATGTTACTGTAAAAACAATGAAATTATTAAAACCATTAAAATACAAGTTACAATGGTTAACATTTTAGAGAAACATGACATTTCTTTATACATTTCTAAATGAGATTACTAAGATGGAAGACATAAATTATCAACAGTTACATAGTCAAAAGCATTTTTAATTGTGAAATTGGGATGTCACAAATTCACCTTTTTGCTCTCCTTGAGTTCTGGTTGAGAAATACTAGTTTTCCAAGGCCTCCACTGGTGAACCTGTCTAGAAGGATGCTGGCCCACCCTTGGAAATGGAGTAATGAGTCATAAAAACCAGTAACTGCAGGACTTAATTCTGTTGCAAATTCCTGGCTGAAAGTGGTTTCCCTATAAAGTTCCTATCCCAGTTGAACTTGACTGGGATTTCTCCATCCTTTTTCTTTTCCTCTTCTTTCTACCTTGTCCCCTGATTGGTTGTATTTGGCAGAACAATCTTTTTGGATTCTCTAAATCAAGATAAGACGTACATTCTTTTCTGCTTCCTATATCACAGATTCTAAGCGTAGGCCCCAGACTAAAAACAAAACAGAACAAAACAAAACAAAACACCCAGATTTTTGGGATGGAAAGGAAAAGAAATAATTTCAAATTCTCTCTCAGGACACAGGGTCTTTCATTACTAATGGGTAGCCTAAATAAACTGATATTAATCTCAGCTATCTCACATTCATTAGTGACAACTTTTGACAAAGCAAATCAGGTATTCCAATTCCTTATAAAAATCATCCCTTTAGAGGATAAAGGCTGGGTTGAATATGAAAATAATCCTGGAATAAGTAATGAACATGTTAATGATCATTAGATCAATTACTGAATAAAATGTGAATAATTCAAAGTTTTGAAAGTATGGGGATGAATACTATATAAAAATTCTATTATAGAATAAGACCATGGGCCCACTTCAAAGCTTTCCTTAACAACTGTTACTTTAGGAAAGCTCTGAAGGTCCACAATAAGTCTTGATGACACTTTCCTGTTAGTAACAGTTAATGAATGAAAATATTACTATTAACCAAGATTTATGAGCTGAAAGCATCAAAGGAGTTTACTTTACTCATTAAAATTGACACTGACAGAAAACAAGGACCACTGCTATATTCTTTTTAAGTATGTTAGTGATCAAGTTCACATAGTAACTTACAATTTGGAAGAAAAAGGAAAATTGAAAGGAGGCTGTTTTGTTTCTTGAAATGTACTGCACTTTAAGTGATAATGAAATCAAACTCAGTGAACATACTTTAACCTTTCTAGTATAAAAATTAATTTTATTTAAAAATTAAAATCCATTAATTTATTTGGGAGGAAAAGATACAGAAAGACAGGAAGCGCCCCCACCCCACACACATCCCATTTGCTGATTTATTCCTTGCATGACCCCAACAGCCAAGAACAGCTAAAGCTGTAGTTAAGAAACTGAGTTCAAGTCACATGAGAGGCAGGAATCAGATTATCTAAAACATTACAGCTGCCCTACTCTCCGCTTCTGCCTCGGCCAGACCCTGTATCGGTAGGAAGCTGGAACCAGGAGCTGAGACCAGGAATGCAGTCAGAGTACTCCAATGAAGCATGTAAGAGTCCTGACCAGAATCTTTACTGTTAGGCTATACACTCACCTGGCCAGAATTAATTTTCAAGGACATAAAAGAGTGCTTCACATCTCTGAAATTAACTTTTATGTCCCTGACAATCACACTGGCTATAGAAAAATCCAGAAAAACTTACTGTAAAACCAGGTGGTATTGCTGAGACCTATACAGATCCTATCTGAATTGTCGGTCAGTGTTGAGCCAAACTCTGATTAATTTGCTCTCTCTGGATTTTTTCATTGCTTTCTGAGCAGACAGCTTCCTTGCCTATTATGTTTAGCTCTTGAAACTCAGACCTAATTAACATAGTTAAAAGTCTCCCGCCTACAGCCATCTTTTCAGGACGATGGATTGAAAACTTGATGAGCTCCTTCACTGGCTCATACATAATTTTAATGTTCCTGATAGCATATTAATTGTTCACTCATAAAATTGAAAATGAAGATACATAGATATATCAATACTGTTTTGCTATGGATAGCGATCAACTCCACATATACACAGATTGGAATGAGCTCTAATCACAATTTTATTGTACACAGTTTTATTCCTGCTCTGAAAACAAGTGTCAATGCATACAGAACACAAACATCTTGGCAGAATGCTTTTATTGGAGCAACTTGGATCTCTCTCTTTAAAAGGCTCAATAAATCAAAATCAATACTATAGGAAAGCATGCTTCTTGGGAATCTTCAGAGAGGAAAACAAATGGATAGACTTAAAATTGTGTCTTAAGGAAGTGTAACAACACACAAAGTCACACACATATATGCATGAGTTTAATTACCTACCTATCCAAGCTCCCAACTCTGGCGACTAGATACAGGAGACTCCCAACAGCAAGGCTTCCCAGGACTAGGAGCTTCTGTCTCAGCCACGCCTGCTGTTTGAATAGCATGGCCCTCCATCAACCTTCAGGACTGCTGCAGCCTAACAGACAGGAGAGAAGACATTCATTAACAGCTGTCTCTGACGGGCGCTGCTGATTCTCACCAGCCAGAGGTGGGAAGATAGGTAACTAAATGATGCTGCGTAAAAAACAGACCCCATATCAATCTTGATAATTTTCATGGTGTAGTAGCTATTTAGCAATACTTACCTTTCTTTCCCAGCTTGTGACATAAGATCAAATATTACCTCTAGGAGACAGAACCTGACAATTGTCAAAGTAAATTACAAATGAATATGTTATAATATGCATACGTGTGAGGTTCTTTGGGAACTCATTCAAAGAATCTCAATAAACTGAAATGCAGAGCAATCAGCGAACTGAAGGCTTTGTTTCAGAGTAGTGGTGAATGTGGAATGATATATGATATGATATGATTATATATATTTATATATATTGATGTATTTTGCTTAGATTTTCTTTTGAGTTTTTCCGGTTTTAGTGGAGGAAGGGGGTGTGAGATCACAAGTGAGTACTCACTTAGATCATCAGTGGTAAGTCCCAGGGCCTCCCATGACTGAGGAGTGTGGCCCTGAGGAACCATGCATTTCCCTTTATGTCTTCTGCCTAGTTCCAGATTCTGAAAAACACTCATAGACAATATGCTCCTGCTACGTGACCTCCCCCGGCTCAGAATGACTTTAAACAGGTTTGATGATAAGGTCTTGCTCTTACATCATGAAAAAAGCTTACCTGGAAGCTTTGTTCCCTTGCACTTGAAATAAGGCCAGCTGAGGAGTGTAGGGCTTTACTAGCGCTGTTATTAAATTTTGGGGAAAAAATACAAGCTCCCAGTGCAGACTTCCTTATTAAATATAAATCCAATCCCCCTTTCAAGATAAGATTGCTTGCTTTTTATTGAAACCTAAAATAGTAACCTAAGACTACAGCCATGAGTCATGATTAGAAATTGTTTTAGCTGCAATGATACCTCCATGTTTACTCTGTGATGTTTTTCTCTGTTTAAGACAGATATATCAGAATAGATTCTTTTCATTAATCAAGAAATTACTAACATTTTCTAGTATTATATAATAGGCTTATGGGAGATTCAAAACGAAGATTCTCAGAATTTTAACTCTTATAAAACTGATAATGTGGATAAAATCAAATCAATAAAATGTATGAACAAAAATTAGAAGAGAAATTAAGGGAAATGTCAGAGAATGTAAGCTCCATGGGATGCTTCTCTTTAGCAGAACACAGTACATAACTAGGTGAGGAGGCTGTAAGAGGACATTCCAGGAGGGGGAGATTAGGGCAACATTATTCAACACAGCCAACAAAGATTTATAGGATCTACTTAAGGTGCCCTGAGGGAGACTGAGAATAGCAGTGAACTTAAAATAAATTTGGCTTCTGTTAAATTTGAGCTCACAACTTAGTGGAGAAGACAATAAATACAGAGTGTTGGGCTGTACTGCCAAAGTATAGCAAACATTACAAAGGAAAATGACAACATCCAATTATAAAGAGTAGCAGGAGAAACCACTTTAGCCCTCCCCAAACAGGAAATAACCTAGTTGGCACATAGTGGAAGAGGAGCAGGAGGTTCAGGTAGGGCACAGAGGATTTCAAACCGAACAATCAGCATGCACACAGGCCTGAGTGGGTAGTTGGAAAGGCAGATTGCTTGGCTAGTTGGAAGAGTGAAGGAAGGCAGGAGTGGCTGGATCCAGGGATCGAGGAGAAGAGAGCTGAGAATGAAATCACACAGGGTTGGCAGCAGCCATTGTGGCAAACTACATTTTGTTGCTGCTTGGGATGTCCACATCGCTTCCAATCCAGCTTATAAATATTGCATCTGGGAAGGCAAAGGATGCTGGCTCAAACTTTGGGTTCCTGCCTCACACGTGGGAGACAGTCCTAGCTCCTGGTATCAGCCTAACTCTGCCTAGCTGTTGCAACCTTTTAGGCAGTTAAACACGTACAAAAATATCTTTAAAGTTGATTTATTGGAAGGTAGAATGACAGAAGAGAGGGAAATAGATATCTCAGGAGAGCTTCTATCTGCCAGTTCACTCCTTAAATGTTCACAAATCTGGGATGAGGTTAAGGCAGAATCCAGGAAACCCATCTTGGTCTCCCACATGGGTGGCAGGGGACCAGGTACTGGGCCATCATCTTCATATTCCCAGGAATATAGAAGCAATACAGGATTGGAAGTGTAGCAGCTGGGCCTTGAAGTGGTACTCTGATATAGGATGCCAGCATTGTAAGTAGTCATTTAACCTGGCCCCAATGAATAAATAAGCATAAATTTTTTAATTCAAAGGAGTGGACAGTGAGAAATGTATTTTACAGGAGACTAGATGACCTTACTTTTCACTTAGCAGCCTTCTGTGCAGATAAACGGAGAAACAGAAAGTAAGGTCAACTGAGGTCAACAAGGATATTATCCAGTAGTACTTGAGAAAATTCTCACAAAAATCCTGTGAAGTAGATAAAGTTTTTCTTCCTTGCATGGATGACACAATGGGATTCACAGTCTTGGTTCTCTTCACTCCATAATGCTGTAGTAGGAATGAAATAGTGTTTCTACAAGTGATATCACCATAGAGATGCTTGCCAGACTAATTGATATAAAGGATTATCAATCCTTTGTGTATCAGTGTGAATTAATTTAGTGTACACTCACAGATGAGTAATAGAGAATAAAGCTACTCTGGCTGAGGAAGGTCAGCTGCAAATGGGAAAGATGGGAAATGTAAAGCTAAGATGTACCTGCCACATGGCCTTGACAAGGGCATGACCTCACACAGGGAACCCACACAGAGGGAGAGTGGAAAGGTTACCTCCTCTTGTCTGTGCTCCTACCCCTCTATTCCCAACTCTGCTGCACAATGCTTCATCCACTTTCACCAGCTCACAGGTCCATGTGTCTTAGCTAAGGTCCACCTGTCCATTCAGACCTGGGCTATGTAACACTTCTGTGAAGGCTTCTCCAGTGGATAGTCCAGTTTACACTTACCACCCACCTCAGCTGACCTCTTCTTGGTCCTGCATGGAGCTCCACACTCAGGAGATTATCAAAAGGCCTCCAGCTCCCTATTGCACTGCAGAAATCATCTAGTATAAATTAGGTTATGAAACCTGACTGAATATGAGGTTATTTTTTCCCTTTTAAAAATATATTTATTTATTTTTATTGAAAAAAAAAACATCTACAGAGAGGACAGTCAGAGAGAAACATCTGCCATTTGTTGGTTCACTCCCCACAAGGCTGTGACAGCTGAAGCTGAGTTGATCCAAAACCAGGAGCATCTTCCAGGTCTCCCATGGAGGTGCAGGGTCCCAAGGCTTTGGGCCATCCTCAACTGCTTTCCCAGGCCACAAGCAGGGTGCTGGGGATGGGGGGAAGTGGAGCAACTGGGACACCAACCAGTGCCCATATGGTACTTTGGTACTTGAAGGGGGAGAATTAGCTAATCCAGCCTTTGTGCTGGACCCCGAGGTGTGTTTTTGTTGTTTGTTTGTTTTCTATTACAACTGCAGGTCTTTGCTTTTCAAAGTCCCAATACTTACAGACTCAGCCTCATTTGGTAATCCTAGTTACCACCACAGAAGTCATGCTCCACAGACAAGTTGGTATTACTGGTCTAGCCTCCATGTGCCCGATATGCCTTTACAAAGTTCTTTGGGGTTTTCCTGCTTCGGGAGACCTAATTCCTTCAGCTCCTAGTGTGCAAGGCTGGCCTACCTCCTTGCCATGCCTCTTCTAATTACGACTGACCCTCTAGTCCTTCAAAATGCCTTTATGTCACGCTGAGGACTAAAAGTTCTATTTGAGATTTCAGCTATTGTGGCAGAGTCATCTGTGTTGAAGGGCAAAGCCAATAGATTGGAATCAAAAGAATGGAAATCACATTTGGGTTTAGTTTTATAATGGAATAATTTAAAATCTTGTTTTCCTCATCTGCAAAATTTCACAGGGTTGTTATAAAATGCACATTGAGTAAAACACTGTAGCATTTGGGAACATCTGAGCACTTTAAAAAGTGAAGTATCATATCTTTAGGATGCATATGAATTCATTCTTGTAACATTTTAAAGAGCAAAAGAATAATATAATTGCAGTTCTCATGAATGGTATAAGATTATAAAAAACACAAACTCATTTTAAGTAAAAATAACTGTTAATAGAAACTCCTGTTAACATTTGAATATTAATGCTATATTCCCTATTCAAATCGAGTTGACATGCACACACACACTCACAAAGTCAATACTTCTCATGTTGGGCTGAAATTAGAAATTTTGAGAAAAGAGAAAGCAATGCCAACAGTTTCTAATGAGACTCTCCAGGAGACACGAAGTGAAATCCATTCAATTTTGTAGCCAGATTCCAACCATGTGTTGCGAGGCAATATCATAGCAGCCCTTGAATATCCCTTCCTCAGGGAAAACCAGATACTGGGTTAATTTAACATTCAAGATAGCTTTTTAGGTTTCTGAATCATCATGAAGTACTTGACAGCCTAACAGGATCAAATCTTAAAAGGTGGGATTTTATTGAGCGTGGTTTAGAAATATGAGAAAAAGAGCCTACACCATTCAGTCCTTAGGGTCAATGCTATTAAATTTGGAGACTAACTGCTTTTTCAACCCTGTAGTCACTTCTCTATCTATGCCAACTCTAACAGGTATTTTAATAATCTTTGATCAGAGAAGCCATGCTGGTAATAGGCAATCTATGTAAGGTTTTTAAAAGCTTATTATTACTTTATATACACATATGTACACCTATAAAGTTAAAGACCAAGAGTGACATTAGGTCCTTTCTCCTATCCAGTGTAATTGTTGGTGTCTTTCATTTAGTGTGCCAATGATAGTACAATTAATGTTTTATCAGACTGCTGAAGCTTTAACAGACATGGTACCTTAGCTGAAAGAGGCAGAGTAAGTATATAAATCACAACATATGTAGCCAGAAATGACAAATTGAAGAGACATTTGGCAGTTTCTCTGAAGTAGCACTACA